TGGTGAGAGGCTTCACCAGAGACAGAGTGGGGAGCAGAACAGGCAGATCTACGAAGTACACTGCTGAGGGGAGCAGTGGGCGGGTCAGGAGAGGTGTCACCTCCGGGGCAGGCGGGAATCGAACTTATGCGGAAGTGGCTTTAACTTCTTAGTGCAGTGCTTTAACCCGCTGCGCCACCAGGGAGGGCCCAGAATCTGTTGTTTTTAAATATATGTGGGTAAATACTTTAAACTGCCTTCCCCATGCCCCTCTCCACTAAAGAAAAATTTGTCTATTTCTTTCTTCACACTTTTCACACTGAGGGCATCAAATTTTTTTTTTGAGATTTATTTATTTATGCATACAGAACTGGGGTACAGGCCAGAGGTGCAGGGTGGTGAGAGAATTCACCAGAGAGTGTGGGGAACAGAACAGGCCGACTGAAGTACACTCAGAGGGGAGTAGCGGGTGGGTCAGGAGAGGTCTGTCATGCTATGTGGGTCACCTCCGGGGTGGGGCTCGAACTCATGCTGAGTGGCTTTAGCTTCTCAGTGCTATGCTTTAAACTGCTGTGCCACTAGGGAGGGCCCAACATCAGATATTTTAGGGAGAAATTGGAACTTGGAAATATCCAAGTTGCTCTGAGCAGTTACTTTACTATAGTATCTCATCTATAGATACCTGTAGAAACAAAGATATTATCCTAAAGTTTGCATTTGTGCTTTCTTTAGTTTAGGTAGAATCTGGTGGCTCAGGTTCAGGTTTTCGTGGTTTGGGAGAGAATATTCTTGCACTATAAGCGTTAATTTTACCTTACTATAGGATGTTAAAGTATACTCCCACATAGTAGGGTATTGATATGTGGCATTTATCACATCCGATCCTATTTCACTCAATATACTATAATCTTAAGGTAGCCCACAGAATCACTCCTTGGTTAAGAGGAGTCTCTCCGCTGGGCCTTGTGATTTAGAGTCCTGCTCTGACACTTCTCTAAGCTCTGTCCTCTCTACAAAGTGAATAATCTATAGAACCAAGGCCAAAGAACATATCCTATCCAGATTCCTTACCAGTGTATGTTTGGGTACCTGAGACATCAGAATTCCCTCCCCACCCACATGGCACCAAGTATATTTCCAGAGTCTGTGTGGATTTTTTTTCTGATTTTTATTTTATTTTTTAAAATGTTTTTTAAAATAATAGTTTATTTTTACATCATTTTGTGCCTTTTTTCATCTCAGTTGTAATCTCCATGGGCTTCCCTACATGGATCTTTTGGGCTTATTCTTTCAAGGGACAATCCTATCTCTGATAGGTGTACCTCTAGACTAAAGGGGTAGATAGATAGCATTTCTTTGTGAGGGTGTGTGGACATTGCCTGTATTTATAAGTCGGTGATGATTTCTACTACTTGAAGTCCAGCATGGAGCTGGGATTTGGGAGGTTAGTGAGGGCCAGGTACTTGTGTCACTATTTAACAGTGCATACATAGGTACTGAGGAGTCTTGAGAATTTTGAATTTGGTTTTCCTATGAGGGTCACTATGAAAGTATATTCATTTGTGTCAAGAGAATGGAATTTATTTAACAGTATATTAGCTTAATATGCATTTGAGTTTAGTCATACGATACATATTCATTTGTGCTCTTGATTTAGACTCCACAAATCTTAAGGGTAGGCTTGTTGTTCAGTACCTTCAAATGTTTCTCTTTAGTACTTAGTGTTCTTGGCACATAATGGACATTAATAAATGAATGAAGTTGGGGCTTCAGTATACCTTACCATGGCACAATATCAAATCAGAAATATAGTCTGTATTTATTAGCCTTATAATGTACAGTTTGGGGGAAATCTGTTCAGAATCTATCTTCAGAATTATGGAGGTAGAACATCTAAAGGGAGGGCAGATTAAATCTAGGCTTTCTGATTGATTTGTTACAGGATATTAATTTATCATTTGTGAACTCCACTCTGTTATTTTCATACCATATTTTATGATAACTTTTTAGATGTGTTGGCTTACAGTCATTATTTTGTTCTCATTGGATATTGATACTTGCTTGAGATGCTAGTTATCTTTGCCCCTACTTGATTGACTATGTGTTTGGGGACTACTATGGTGCCTAAGTTTTTACTTTCTAAGGGATTACATGTTAAGTGAAATATTAACATATACTATCACATTTAGTCCCCACAGTAATTCCATGAGGTAGGGAGGATTTATCCTGATATTATTATAGATATGAAAATATAGTATCAGAAGTGGTTATTTGCCTAAGACACAGAAATAGGAAAAAAATGTTTTTGAAAAAATTGACTTTATTTACATAAAAGCTAATTTTTTAAAAAGTTAGTGAAAATATACTTTGGAATGATATTATTAGATAATGCATGTCTGTAATTTCTTTTGCCTTTAAACATGCACAGGAATTCAACCTTATTGATAGAAGAGAACTTGCCCCACTCCAAGAACTGATTGAAAAACTCACCTCAAAGGACAGATAAAAGGATACAGAGCCGTGCAAACTTCCTCAAATGAAGCTGTGTGGAGTATATTTGGATTTTTGTTTTTTATCTCAGTTATTTTTGACTTAGGTTTGGGGGGACTTGTTTGGGTTCCTTTTCCTTAATCTGAATATTAACCATATTCTATTGCAACAGACAGATAAAAATCATTCGAAATACATTGGATAGGAATAAATTTTGTCTTAGTGGCATATAGTAATACATAATATACTTTTAATAGGTTTTGTTACTTGTGGAATTTATGTAGCATTGTGTGTGGAAAGAAAATGCTTATTAATTAGACTGCTGATGGATGGGGTTTCCGAGTTGTATAAATTGTGGTCGATTTTTGAAGTCCCTGAAAGACTTTATGTTTTCAAGTGCCTTGGCAGGCTCACTTCTGAGGTGCAAAGCACAGACATAGAACTGAACAGGACTTGAAATGATCATTAGGATTATTACCCAGGGCACTTACTGATGCATGTTTTAAAATATCTATGATAAAAGCCATAGTTTACCTAAATCAGTGATCTCCAGCTTTTACTACATGGAACAAACACCCTTTGTAAAGTTGTGCATGTAGAACAAAAAAAATTAGTATTTCTTAATTATTTTTGATATTGATAATTCTGTTCAACAAATTCTTAAAGTTCTATTAGCAAGTTTTTTTTTTTTCCATTTCTTGAGATCTGTGATATTGAAACATAAGGATGTTGAAATGTAGTAAGTATTGCATTTTGGCTTCTTTCTACACTGCAGGTGTAAAAATTCAGGTTATATATAGGTTTGCCATCTTCAGAGGTGATGCTGAACTGTGAGGTTTCTTAGCAATTGCCAAATGAGCCATAAGTCTGCAGAGCCCCCCTTCTTTGAAGAGAAGGGATAGAAGTTTTTGTTTGATTTGGAGTGGGGATATGTGTATGCTCTTAGTTTAGGGAGTCAGGAAGGGATTAAGTATGTGAATCAAGTTCAAGAACGTGTTATCTTAAAACACTTGGATAGAACTGACAAAGAATTTTATGAATTACTTGTAAACAAAATCTTACTGACTTCCTCTTAGGAGTCAACTTCCATGAGAAGTTAAAAATAAGTTATTAATTTTGGATATAGACATTAAATGAGGAATTTAAAGGCTGTTTTGAGAAATTGACTACAGCAGTTCCATTCAGTGAATGGAGCTGGTGTTTGTCATTTTAAAATGATACAGTACCTTATTTACTTATTGATACAATTTGAAGCATTTTGACTTCTGATTTTTCCACTGTGAAAGGAAATCTTTTTCTTTGCAGTGATATCAGAAAATAAAAGTGCTAATTCAGTAGTCACTTTCACACTTTGCCTTGACTTTCTAGTGAACAACTCGCATAAAAGTTCAGAAACTTAGTTTTTAAACTAATTATGAACATTTCTCACTTTTTATTCTTGAGAAACAGCCTTTTCAGACTTCCAGTGTTAATTTTGTAATTTCTGGTAAATCTATTTCTTTAGTTAAAAGTAGGTATTTTTTTCCTTATAGTGTACAAATCTTGCTCTGAAATTGTATAGACTAAAAACAATAGAAAAGAATAAAATGAAATCAGTTTTTTACTTTATTTTCATTTGATTTCATTAAGAAGCATAGTAGTGATAAATTCAATGCCATTACAATAATGATCACTAGGAACTGCCTTTTTCTCCATTTCTTTTCTAACAATCATTTGATCAGTACCAACAGGAGAACCCAGCAGAGGCAAATGTATTGGACATTCATTGTTAATGCTTATTTATAAACTCCAGTGAGAACTAGCTGATTTTCTTAAAACAAATTTTTTAGTATTCAAATTGATAATATCAGCCACTATGGTGATTCAAAAGGAATTTGATTTAAGTGATTTGGGGGTCCTGTCTGTATAGGAAAATGAAGCACATGATTAGTCAAGTCTTCTATACTGCATTTGACTTTATCAACCTAATAACTGGTTGTAACAGCCAAGTGTAGAGAGAACAGAAAACTTACTTTCGCTCTTATATAGTAGTACCATAAAAAAATGCAAAAATATTTCTCTAAGTTAATTTGTAGTAGTAGAATCTACTCTCCCACTGTATGTAGACAGGCTCTTGTCATAGTGCCAGAATCCCAGGTGCTTGGGGAATATATATATATATATGTTTATATATACCATATATATATATATATATGGTAACAAAAGCAAAAGTAGAGTTCTTCAAGGTGAGGCCTGGCACCATACATGGTATTAAATGACTACAAGTAAGGAAGCACAGGACTTGTGAGAAATAACTTGACTTAATAAAATGTTGCTCTGACTTACTTGGCTCCCATGAGTGTTAAGATGCTTTGCATAAAATAAGGATCAAATCTTGATTTTTGTATTATAACTTGCTTATAAATGTCTGATACCTTTAACTTATAAATAGCCAAGGTAAAAGATCTCAGTCCATCTGTGCTTGCTCTTTATAGAGTTATAAAGCAGAAGTTAATTTTTGCATCTGCTAAAAGCATCCTATAAAATACAAAGTAGTAAGTTAACACTAAATTACTCTCACAATGCCGTGACTAAATGTTGATGGAAGCAAATTTTAGGCATAATTTTAAATGATGGAATAATGATGGTAGAGAGAAATTAGTTAAAGTGAAACTCTTTTAGTAGCAGTAGATGGTGCCATTGGTTTTCATTTGTGGACTTACTACCACAAAGACTGGCATTAAACTGCACTAAAACAGTAAGCATGTATTCATTAGCTGGTAGAAGCTTTAGAGGTCAGTTTACCTTAAATTGAAAGATTTTTAGATTGATATCTTTTTCTACCTTTGTATTGTCATTTGTAAGTTCTAAATAGTAAACATAATGTATTAGACAGAAGGCTTGTCTAGGAAGAGATATGCAAATCTCAGACTAATGCTGGCCTGGCTTATCAGGAAAGAAAGCACTACAGTCTGTTAATATTTAGGAAATACAAATGATGTGGATATTTATAGTTTACATGTAATCATCAAATTCCATTTTTCATATAAGCATTTTCCTTGTTTGTGGTTTATACCTTTGTCTACACCCTCTCTAAGAGAGGTTTTGATAACCACTGCTATGGTAAATAATGTGAGATATAATTATTAAGTCATAGGGCTTTGTTTTAAAATAAATGTGATACTTTAAATATCCAGGTGAACTGATCTTCAGAATGGTTCCTTTGAAAGCATTACTTATTCCAGTTGCAAAAGTGTAATATTTTTAAATGTTTTCAGAGATGCCTTTAAAATCAGTTAATGACTATGCAAGAAAAGCTATTTTATCCTTTCAGTCGCATTAAAAATGCTTTTGGCAGTTTAACACAATCTGTCTCACCAAGCCAGCTCTACATTGCTGTTTTCTTAGAACTGAACTGTTACAGAAGGTCAAAAGACTATGCCATAGTTTCTGTATTTGCAGAAGAGAATGATTTAAGCATTGGTAACATCAGTTAGCAGATAGTCTCTTGATGTCACTATTTTGAAGTTGATAGTATGACTTGGATGTACAGATTTTATTTTTTTTGAATTTTATTTAAGTACCTTACAGTTAAATATAATAGTTAAAAAATCATCTTTTGTTATTTTCCCCCTTTTTTGATAATTTCAGAATTCTATTCTGACTAGTGTAGGGTAGTTTCAGTTTGAAGAATAGTAAGAAAAAATGGTTCCAGTTTTTAAGATGGAAGATAGTGGTTGTTTTAAGAAAACAACAGCCTTTGTCTTTATCTTTTTTCCCCCTCTTTAAAATGTATTCACTCATGAACAATGTGGATTTAAAGACTGGAGATTATAGATAGAAATAAAAACAAATTTTATTTATTATGCTGAGTTTTAAGCCTGTATATCACAGATATTTAAAATTATAAAATCATTCCATGTGTTATCTATAATTTTAAGCTTTTGAGTGTCTTTTTTAAGGCTTTGGGACCAGATATATATTTGCAATTTGAAAACGTGACTGCATACTAAGAGGAAAACAACTTTCTGAAATTTATCTGTGATTTAAAGAATATACCATTCTTAAACATGCTATTATGCTAGATCTATACTCTAAGTATACTTCTAAAATAATTTAAGCAAGTTTTGTCATGTTAATGTTGACCATAGGAATACTGTAGTTATTTTAATTGTCTCTGAGATACTGAGGTAAAGCTATCTCAAGATTTAATGGAAACATTTAATTTTAAGATAGAATAAAAATTCTGACTGCATACAATTTGAATTTTAAGGTCTTTGTACAATGAAGCTAATCATAAAGAATTCATTTTGAAGGTGTAAAACTGCACCATGTCTGCCATTTGTAGCTGAACTGAAATTTTGATGAGAGAAAATACAGATTAACATATTGTGTGGTACAATTTTTTTTCTGCATATAATACTATAACAATAGAGGACTTTGGATTCTAGTTCTTAAAGATAATAGTAAAATCACTGACCATTTCCAGTGTGTTTTATCTGCTTGCCATCACTTTCTCCTGGGAGGTTAAATTCCTTATTACCATTGACTCCAGTTCCCATCTTCCCCTCTTTCTGCATGCCGGCTCCCTCCTGTTCTCTCTCCCTCTGAAAACAAAGGCTAGGGTGGTTATGCCTTTGGTATGATTCTGAAATACCTGCTGTAAATAAGTCAGTTTTAGCTGAAGTTGTGGAAGATACACCGTACATAAACATTTTTGATTTGGGGTTGACTTCTTTAAATTATGTCACTGAAACAGATTATTAGTGATAGTAAGTTAAAATTGTGTTAATTTTTATATATTATTACAAGTTTGTACATGTTTTCATTTTTGTTTCTGAAATAATTATGCTGGTTGTTAAATAGATTAGTGCATTTTCATTTTAAGAACACTTTCTCCTTAAATTATTGTGCAGAGATAACTATTTTTAGGGGAAATAGTTTTTTATAGCCACTAAATTGTATTTGTTATTTTTGTACATGCATAACTAGGGCAGGAAGGGCACTAATCTTATGGGGAACACTTTAATTTGAAGTTTTCCTATACATTATTACTTATCATTACTATAAAATTATCTTGGAACAGCGTTATGAGATGTAGTCTGAAAGAATACATTAAAGATGTGAACATTTAAAGTTTTCATAGAAATTATTGCTGTGGACAAAGGCAGAAAAATATTGCTAGTGCTAGATAATGAAACAGGGACAACATTCATCTTATGTAAATTTGCAGCGTGAGTAAAGCTAGAGAGACTGCTCACGTAGAGATAGATAATTTCTATGTTAAATAAATTGGGAGGGGAAGGTTGGCTTAAATTATGAAATATAACACAGGCGCTGTTTGTGAACTGTGCCAAGATTGCTCAAATTGTAGTTTTCATTGACTAAAACTTAACTGATTCATTGTATTTTAAAAGGGGATACTGAATATTAGAAACTCTGTAATATGTTTTAATTGAGAGATGTAAATAATGTGTACAGACTTGTATGTGATGGGATGGGAAATATTTAAATTCTAGTTTTTTTTTAAAGGAAGAAACTAAATGTTTATTTAAGAAATAAATAAAGTTATGTTTGGCCATGAATCCTGACTCTACATTATTGATTTTTGGTGTGGGTGTTCTCCCACTGAACATATTCTTAGAGAAATAGTATGTTACAACAACTTTGGAAGTTAATAACTCAATGTCTTATATATTAGAGCTCAGAAGTTGTGTAAGTAATTGATTAGGATTAGGGTTTAAAAACTCCAAATTGCTTGACTTTGAAGTCAATTTGTTTGTTTTCTTCAAATATACTATTACCATGAAAATAGTTAAATCATTTGTTGAGCTGAGATATTACCCAATATTTTGATTTCATTATATATCACTGAAGTATTCATTATATATCACTGAGAATCTTCTTATCCTGATATCTAAGTTCTAAAAGGAAGTGTTTATTTTATAGAGTATAGTGTATATTTAGAATATCATTATTTAGAAGTGCTTGTATTTAGGGGTATTAGTGTGTGGGCCATCACGTTGAGACTATTTTGATGATAGTAACTACAGTTGCCCAGTGTCACCAATAAGAATTTGAAGAAAAACACTAGAAGTAGAAATGTGAGTCCATGCATATATGTATTATGACTGTATGTTTTAATAAAAACACAGTTGTTCTGCATAAACAGTATATACAAAGCACCTATTGTGTGTAAAGAAAAATTCAAAATTCTATTTTAATAGATTCCTTTGCCTCTATTGTAGTAACTTAAAATAGTTAACTCCTTATCACATAGCAATAGAATGATGTATTTTGCGATCACAAAGGTTCTAAAGTAATTTCCGTTTAAGGCTTAACCATATTTGATGGAAATTTTGCTAAAAGATGTACAACAATCTTCCAAACAGCTGAATGCATAACATCACATTTTCTTGATGACCTAATTCACTTTTACAAGTATGCAGCCAAGTATGTTTACTTTGCTAAGGAGCTAGTTGAGGCTGATGGCTAGATCTTGTGCTCCTATTTTAAAAAAAAGTTTGCTCAAAGGAAGACTCATAAATTCCCCAGTAGAGTCCCAGGAACTTCCTATTAAGAAATGGAAGAGGCCCTCCCTGGTGGCGCAGCGGGTTAAAGCACAGCAGTGAGAATCTAAAGCTGTTTCCGCATGAGTTCCATTTCTGCCTGCCCTGGAGGTGACCACCTGACGTGGCAGACCTCTCCTGACCTGCCCACTGCTCCCCTCAGCAGTGTACTTCATCGATCTGCCTGTTCTGTTCCCCACTCTGTCTCTGGTGAAGCCTCTCGCCGCCCCTGAGCCTCTGGCCTGTACCCCAGTTCTGTATGCACAAATAAATAAATCTTAAAAAAAAAAAAGAAATGGAACAAGGTTAGTTTCTGCTGAGGGAAGAAGTGGGAGATACCCAAGGGTGTGACTAGGAGGTATATGTGTTGTGTTTTATTTATTTATTTTTATTCTTCTTCTTCTTATTTTTTTTTTAAAGATTTATTTATTTATGCATACAGAACTGGGGTACAGGCCAGAGGCTCAGGGGCGGTGAGAGGCCTCACCAGAGACAGAGTGGGGAGCAGAACAGGCAGATCGACAAAGTACACTGCTGAGGGGAGCAGCGGGCGGGCCAGGAGAGGTCTGCCACGCCATGCGGTCTCCTCCGGGGCAGGCGGGAATTGAACTCATGCGGAAGCGGCTTTAGATTCTCAGTGCTGTGCTTTAACCCGCTGCGCCACCAGGGAGGGCCATATTATTATTTTTTAATTATAGTACTGTCCTATTGTAGAAACCACATTTAAGGATCCCCAACTCCTAAAATCTTGATCAGGTTCTTCAGTTCCACTTTGGGCATTTCTGAAATTCTTAGATACCCACTCTACCTTAATCCTCTCTCACTAACTGCCAATACCCTTGACCAATTCATGGGTTTTTCCTCTAGCTTGGGTGTGGAATATAATATCTAAAAGTTTTCCCAGCATCTTTTTCCAACTTGACATCCCTGATGACAAATACTCAGACACTTTTCATTTTAGTGAGCCTGCTGCTAATCAACAGAGATAAAAGTAATATGCATAAAATAGAATAGCAATGGCCCTCCCTGGTGGCGCAGCGTTTTAAAGCACAGCACTGAGAATCTAAAGCCACTTCCGTATGAGTTCGATTCCCGCCTGCCCCGGAGGTGACCACATGGCGTGGCAGACTTCTCCTGACCCGCCCGCTGCTCCCCTCAGCAGTGTACTTTGTTGATCTGCCTGTTCTGTTCCCCGCTCTGTCTCTGGTGAAGCCTCTCACTGCCCCTGAGCCTCTGGCCTGCACCCCAGTTCTGTATGCATAAATAAATAAATCTAAAAAAAAAAAAATAGAATAGCAGTATTTATAGAATAGCTACAAAGAATGATTTTTTTTTTCTTTCAAAGGTTTATCTATTTACACATACAGACTGGAGCATAGGCCCAGCACAGGCCAGAGGGGCAGGGATGAGAGGATCCACCAGAGACAAGAGTTGGGGAGCGGAACTGGAAGATTTACTGAAATACAATGTGGAGGGAAGCAGCAGGCAGGTCAGGAGAGGTCTGCCATGCCATGTGAGTCACCTCCCTGGTAGGGGAAATCGAACTTGTGTGCAAGCGGCTACGGATAGCTTCATAGTTCTGCACTTCAACCCTCTCTAACACCAGGGAGGGCCAGCTACAAAGAAAGATTACTACAGTTTTTGTCCTAGAGTTCCATATGTAATCAGCATTATGATTTTTACCATTTATTTCTGAGAATGGATTCACCATTTATGCCCCTCTGACTCCACCTTGAGATGAATTTCAGATCAGAGGTAGTTCCAAAAATGTCTAACAGGGAGGTGGGCTTCTGTAGACAACTGGTTAATGCCTGGTTTACTAGGTCTTTACAATGATTAAGAATGAATTTTTCTACACCTATTTTGTTAACTGCCAGGTGCAGGCATGAAAATTTAACTTTAAGTACCTTTTTAGTGTGAAGTTCTACATGGTATTATCAAGGGCAGGAAAAAAATTTCCCTTCCCTTGTAGGTTCTTGGCCTAAAAATTAAATTGACATAACAGAGATTAACAGGAGAAAATTTCATTACATTTACATAGAAGCCCCATAAAAATAAGAGATTCAAAAGAAGTGACCAAAATAAGAAACTTCCACACATTCTAGACAAAATTTTTTTAAAGAATTGACAAGATAAAGGGGAAAGTAAATTGGTAAAAATAGTAAAAGGCATGGTTTTGTTTACTCAACCTTCTTGGCTCTCAGTTCTCTCTCTGGTGAGAGATAAGGATACCTTTTAACTCCCTGTAACAATCTTTTACACTACAGAGGGTATCTTTCACTAGGGAGATATATCTCCTGTTCTAGGGAGAGAAAGGAAGGTCAGATGTTCATGTACTTAGGGGTTTGATGGAATCTTAGAATAGAAAAAATCAGGGTGAAAGTCTCACAAGGACAAACAAGGGGGGGGGTCATGAATTATTAATGTATTTTAAACTGGTTACTGAAGTTACCTGGAATCTGACAGTCAGAGATTATCAACCAGCCTGGGACAGAGAGGATTAACAACCCAAGCTAACCCCAAGGCAATAATTTCCACAATAGTTCTATCAAAGAACACTGTGAGAACACCCCTTGCTGTAGTAAGGTGCAGCTTGTCTAAAGACTGCCTGCCTGTGTCTCGGCAGGCATCTCTTTTTTACTTTTCCTGCATCGGTGAATGGGAACTTAACACTGAATTCCTTCTCAGAGGGAATCCAAGAACCCCATGCACGGAACCCCAACAGTTTCTCAAGAAATTTTAACTCAGAATAGTGATCAAAGTGGGATATTTTGCAGTGGCAAATTCTGCTGCCTTAGAGTATAAATGGGCAGCAAGTTAAATGGCAAGGAGGATTATGATAAAACAGTTTTTTGGGGCCTCTGTGGTGACCTAGGGGTTAAGTCTCAGCGTTATCCCCACAACAGCCGGGCCTAGCAGAGCACAGCTCCCCTCAGCAGTGTATTTAAGTAGATCTGTTCTGCTCCCCACAATCTCTGATGAATCCTCTCACTCCCTTGCACCTCTGACCTACACCCCAATTCTTCTACACACACACACACACACACACACACACACACACAAAACTTTCTGTAGTTGATAGGCACCTGCCTATCTAAATTCCCATTCCAGCCCCATTTACTGAGACTTTGAAAACGCAGCCTCTCAATGTCTGTGTTCACTGATAGAAGTAATGGTGCGAGCTGGGGAAGTGGATTGCTAGATAATTCTTGCAGAGCGCTCAAAACAGCGCCTGGCACACAGTAAGAGTGCAAGACTTTTCCGGAAGGCTTGGACTGCCTAACGCTCATCCTGTACCCAAGCACCCAGGGCAGCAAGTTCGATTTTTCCACTACACATTGCTTTCGTCCTGAGGCCTTAAGATTCAAATCCAAGCAACTGACCAGTGCTGTTTACCTACACACGCCACACTGGAGAGGAGGTTCCCGAAACCGGAAGGCCGGCAGTCCACACCCTCTGTCCTTGGGCGCAGTCTGGCGCCGATCTGGATTTGCACAGGGTTCCGGAACCAAACCCTCCTCCTGGCCGGGTCCCGGGAAGATGCGCGCGCGGCCCCGCCCCCTGCTCCCGCGTGACCCCACGTCCTGGGAGCGCACGCAGGTGCCCCTCCCTTCGCGCGCGAACTCCCGGGGGCCGGCTGAAGGCTGACGGGCGGTGGCGGAGCGGGGGGGCGGGCCTCTTCCTCTGGCCCGCCCCTGTCTGTTGCGACCTCCGCGCGCCAAAATCAAATTTCAGACTTGCAGCGGCGGAGCCTGCGACGGGTGGCATCCAGCCGAGGGTCGTGCCACACTGGCCCGCGGCGAGTGTCCAGCGCTCACACCTGTGGCACCTCACCGCCCTGCCTTCCCGACGTGCTCGAGGCCGCCGCCGCAGGAGGAATGGCTACCCCGCCCAAGAGGAGCTGCCCGTCTCCTGCGACTAGTTCTCAGGGAACCCGCATCAAGAAAATTTCCATCGAAGGAAACATCGGTAAGGAGCCCCGGGGAGCGTTGGCCCCGATGCCGAGGCAATCGCGGCGGCTGACCTCGCTGCCTCTCGCCCACTTATCTTTGGGGGCGTAGGGCGGAGGCAGCCGCCATCCCTTCCCGCGTAAAGCATCCTCCCTGCCCTCCCTCTCGGACCGTGGAGGTGGGCGCGCACCTAGGCCGATCGGCTTTGTGAGGCGCGCTTTGGGCCTGCTTCCTCCTCTTTGTTGAAGTCGCCGAAAGAGAAGTTTATGTAAGGGCTGTGTGGCATTTCTTATGGTGTAATTTCCATATGCTAGCTCATTCCCTATGGAAATGAGAGATGTTATACAAGGCAAATGCAATATACAAAAGCCGGAGTGAGTATATTAGTGTCAGACATGGAATTCAAAACAGGAGGTACCCCTGGAAATCAAAGAAGACACTTGATAGTCGAAAGAAAGTACACCATTTTAGGCGTCCTCCTCCTTGAGCTTTGACAGACTTCATGCTTCACTGTCACCACTCAAAATTCAGAACATTCCATCAACCTCGATTCTCGTAAGTGAAATAAGGCAGAGCAAAAGACAATACGGATGGTTATTTGTGGAATGCAGATAGCCAAACAGCACATTGGTAAAGCACAACAAAAATAATTGCTAGATTGTGAAAAATATACTGGTTACCAGAGGGAATTAGAGAGGATGGGGTAGGGAATGAGCACTGGAGGGTGGTGGCAGATGAGTGGAGCTGATTATGCACACTTGGAGGTATGAAATGTACCCCCAAAGTTATATACATATGTAAACAACTGGCAAATAAGTTTTAAAATTATACAGCAAAACAGAACAAACATTTCTGTCACCTCCACAAGTTTCTTGGTTCTCCTTTATGGTCAGCCCTTGTGAATTTTGCGAGACAAGAATGTCCTATAAACAGGATCAGAGTATTTATCCTAAAGCGTGTTTTTTTAGTTTAACATCCTTTTGCTTGTGTAGCAAGTGCTTGACTAATGTAAGTGAACTCAGTATCCTTTGGTGATAAAATTGATGGGAAATCTGCTACATTTGAACAAAAGTTATTCAAGTTACCTGCTTGCCGTAGCCACTTCATCCATATGAAGAACTTTTATGTTTGTGGTGTTTGTTACTGTTTTTTATAACTGAGTAATATTTCTTTGCATGGCTATATCACAATTTATTCCCCAATTGTGGACATTAGTGCTGTTTCTAATTTTTAGTGATTTTGAATAAGACTGTCATAAATATTTGGGTACTAGGAAAGAGTATTTTTTAAAAAGATTTATTTATTTATGCATACAAGAACTGGGGTACAGGTCAGAGGTGCGGGGTGTGAGAGGATTCACCAGAGACAGAGTGGGGAGCAAACAGCCGGATTAATTGAAGTACACTGCTGAGGGGAGCAGTGGGCAGTTGGGAAGAGGTCTGCAATGACATACGGGTCACTACCTTGGCTGAGAATAGAACTTGTGCTTCAGTGGCTTCAGAGAGCTTTGTAGTGCTGTGCTTTAACGAGTTGCAGCACCAGGGAGAGCCCAGGAAACATTTGTTTTTAACGATCTTCACCTTAACGATCTTCACCGCTTTGACTTCCTGACTTCCAGTCCCACATCCAAGTAAACATTGGGCTGATTCACACATACCACTATTGTTTCTCTTCTTAACCCAGGTGGGGGCAGACTATCATGCATGTCATTTTTGAAAGATACACCTGAACTTCTATTCTGTTTCCTACCACAGGAAACCTAATTTGTGCCTAACATTTCCTGTTTTGAAAGAATTTTTTTGATTCCAACTTGGGTGTTGTCCATTCATGCATATAGCAAATATTCTATTTGTAGCAAATAGTGTAAAACTCATACCACATCCAGAGCACTTGTACCTTCTTTAAAAAGGGAAGACAAACATTGGTAGCATTGTAGGGAATAGAAAGATGGATAATAGAAACAGAAATAATTATACATTTCTATTTATATTATATGTTTACAATACATTAATATAAATATATTCATGATACTGATTATATATTTAATAAAAGACATGATATATTTATAACATAAATATAATAAAATAAGTAGAAATAACAGTACACATTCCCTTTAAGAGGAATTTTTGTTTTATTGATTCAGCATTAAGGTACCACAAGGGAAAAATACATGTAATAGACTCATTTTTGCTTAGCAGGATTAAGTTCTTTGAGGGTCAGTGTTTATTGGTATGATTCTCACAGCTACTTAATGAATAGAAACAACTGTATTAAAAGACAGGAAAATAATTTGAACAAAGCCATTTCAAAAGTAAATTTGAATGAATAATCTTTCAGTTCAAAACCCCGATAAATCAGGGCCTGCCTCATGGCACAGAGGTTAAGTCTCAGTGCTTTCAAGCTACTAAGTGATCACCAGCCACTTTGGCATGAGTTCAATCCTCAGCCAGGAAGCTAACCCACATGGCACTGTCTTAGCTAGTGCTCCCCTCAGCAGTGTATTTCAGTCAGTCTACCTGTTCTGCTCCCTACTCTGTCTCTGGTGAATCCTCTCACTCCCCTGGAGTCTGGCCCAGACTCCAGTTCTCATATGCATTAATAAAATAAATCTTAAAAAAAAAAAAAACACAATAAATCAGTTCCCTTCCTTTAATCTAGTTAGGCAACATATATCTAGAAATTTACTTTTCGCCAAGAATCTTTAATCTTCCTATAACCTGAAATAATTTTCTAATATGTGACTCAAAATACAATTTCTTTTAATTACTTACAGAATGGTCTTTATTCATACAGTGTATTACCCCCTGCTTAAAATTCTTTCAGCTTTCCTCATTGCTAACACTGGAAGGAGTTGCATACTTACTTCATTGCATAATGTTCTATACAGCTTTGAAAGAACTAACTAATGGTTAGCTTTATGTTTTTGTGAAATATCCTATAAACATTTAGATCCTTGACTATGGAAAAAACCTGAAGAGCTGTAAAAGACCTCACCTCGAGGTGATCCACATGGCGCGCAGAACTTGGCCCGCCTGCTATACCCCCAGCAGTATATTTCAGTAGATCTGCCTGTTCTACTCCCCACTCTTGTCTCTGGTAAATCCTCTCACAGCCCCTGCACCTCTGGCTTGTACTCCAGTTCTGTATACATAAATAAATAAATCTTTTTTTTTAAAAAAAAAGAGTACCAGCATTTGTATAGGTCAGTTAACTTTTTTTCAATGGGTACAGTGAGTTTCTTATCATTATTGTCTTCCCTGACACTGAGGCTTTCACAGTTGCTCTTGCACTGTTCATGTCACTTTCCCCTTATTTGCCAGACCCAAATAAGCTATAAATGGGCAACTTACTAATCTGAGAGGATTCACCAGAAACAGAGTGGGGAGTAGAACAGGCAGACTGACTGAAATGCACTGCTGAGGGGAGCAACAGGTGAGACAGGAGAGGTCTGCTACTCTATGTGGGTCAGCTCCCTGGTGGAGGATGGAACTTTGCTGCAGTCGCTGATAAAACTTCATAGTGCTGAGTGAGACTTAACCCCTTGTGCCATTAGGTATCTAATACCTTATTATTGGTATCTTAATGCCACTAGTAGTTTTATTAGATCCCATAACTTATTTTTAAAGATTTACTTATTTATTTCTGCATATAGAACAACCGCTGGTACAGTCCAGAGGTGCAGGAGCTGTGAGAGGATTCACCAGAGACAGAGTTGGGAGCAGAACAGGCAGATCGGTGAAGTACACTGCTATGGGGAGCAGTGGGCTAGACAAGAGAGGTCTGTTGTGCCATGTGGGTCTCCTCCCTGGCTGGGGATTGAACTTGTGCTGAAGCAGCTGCAGCTAGCTTAGCAGTGCTGTGCTTTAACCCCAAGTGCCACCGGGGAGGGCGCAGCATCTCCTATGCTTACCCTTTCCACACACAATTTGTGATTAAATCTAATAGTCACCTAGATTAAGCTGTAAAGTTTTAATCCTACCTACTGTGTGGTGATGGTATGATTTGTATTTTCCTTTTCAATTGTTCTCTGTTCTTTCTGTTAATTCTTACTAACTACCCTTCTTGCCACTCCTCTCCCCCAACCCTCCCAAGGTGATAGTTTAAAGTTCTTCCTTCCAGGTTTTTCTTTTCTGTTGCTCTATTTAATGTTCTAAGTTTCAGTATAATTCTGCAAGTCAAAGGTGAATTATTTTTGCCCTCTTTGGATCCAATTTGTAAGGAAGAAGACATTTTGCTTTTAAGCATACCTAAGTTGCTTTTTTAGACAATGTATGTGTATTTATCTATGTTTGTGTATTTCCCTCTCCCTGCACATATTAAATTATGCAGACCAGAGATGTCTAATACAACCACATTTGGTGACTTTAGATAGGAAGGGTATGGTGGCATGTTGTTACACCTTGTTAAATTTTAATTTAGGACCTTTCCTGCTACTAAGTGAACTGCATTTCTGAGTAAATATTTTAAATAAAGATTTGTTTTTATTCATTTGTGCATATAAGAACTGGGGTACAGGTCAGAGGTGTGGGGGGTGGTGAGAAGATTTAACAGAGTAGGGGGAAGATCAGGCGATCTACTGAAATACACTGCTGAAGAGCAGCAGGCAAGCCAGGAGAGGTCTGCTGCACCATATATGTTAGCTCCTTGGCTGGGGATGGAACTCATGCAGCAATTGCTGGGCTAACTTTATAGCACTGAGTCTTCAACCCTGTGCCACCAGGGAAACTCATTTCTGACTAATTTTAAAGTAGGAGGAATTTACTATGCCCTGATCACTTCTGAACAACTCTTCCTCAATATTGCAGTAGTGAATGATCAGGGAGAAGTGAAGTGATATGCTTCCTTGCTCCCTTCCCAACCCCCAAAGGATTAGCTAGAGTGCACAGAACCATGAAAATAAGGTGAAAGCAGAGAAAATACCACCTTAGCTTTGTAGGTAGTACTTAGTAAAAATGTTTCTATAATTTCTGTTAGCTATAGTACCATGTGATAATTTGTGTCATGTAGTAATCATACCATTTCCTGTTCTAAAATATTCTAAAAGTAAAGACATTTGTAGTTTATTTACTGGTTTTTAAATTGGTTTTGGAGAAGAAAGACTGGAACTTTCATAAACTGAAAGAATAGCCAGTAGAGAGGAAAATTTTGAAGAGGCTGGAATCACTACCATTGTAGCAATAATTTCTTTGTTTATCACAGGTGTCCAAGCTCATTATTAATACAGTCTCTATTATATTATGGTGCAATAGGCTCATACTGGTTCAGTGACTTAGCCACAATACATACACATTTAAATACTTCCTACAAAGTTATCTCTGATTGTTTGGTTAAGGCAAATGAGTCTTGGAGTAGGATTTTTTCCCCGTAACATTTTTCCTAATACTTTACCAAGTTCCATGACTGCTAAGCTAAAAAAGATAGGAATTAATATGCTTAATACAAGTGAGCCAGACTTTCTTCGCTTTAATTTTTAAAAATCAAGTGAGAAAGTTTAGGAAATTGTGTTTGTGGTTTTGTATTACTTATTAAATTTTGTATTACAGACTTTGTGTTATAAATTGTGAAAGCTGATAATTATCTTGACATTTCATTTCCTTACAAGTTCCCTTCTTCAATTTCGTTTTTCTTTTCACCATAGCTGCAGGGAAGTCAACATTTGTGAATATCCTTAAGCAAGTCTGTGAGGATTGGGAAGTGGTTCCTGAACCTGTTGCTAGGTGGTGCAATGTTAAAAGTTCTCAAGATGAATTTGAGGTATGAAATGAAATTTAACTAAGTAAAATAAAAATCTTTGATTTAGAGGCTGTATTTAATTGCTTGTATTTTCTGTTTTTTCTTTTCCAAAAAGGTTCAAATACAGCTTTTTGTCTCTTTTTTTCACCTAGGTGGTAGGGGGATATATATGTAAATACTCATTAAACTGTCACTTGAGATCTGTATATTTCATTATTTTCTATAGTGGTTTTGCCATTTACATGCCCCCTATAATACTGAAGCTGTCATTAATCCATATTTTTGCCAATTAAAAATTTTTTTAAAAAAAATATTTTATTTGGGCCCTCCCTCGTGGCGCAGCGGGTTGAAGCACAGCACTGAGAATCTGAAGCTGCTTCCGCATGAGTTCGATTCCCGCCTGCCCCGGAGGTGACCACATGGTGTGGCAGACCTCTCCTGACCCGCCCGCTGCTCCCCTCAGCAGTGTACTTCGTCGATCTGCCTGTTCTGTTCCCCACTCTGTCTCTGGTGAAGCCTCTCGCCGCCCCTGAGTCTCTGGCCTGTACCCCAGTTCTGTATGCACAAATAAATAAATCTTTAAAAAAATATTTTATTTATTTGTGCATATAAGAACTAGGGTACAAGCCAGAGGTGCAGGGGCTGAGAGGATTTATCAGAGACAAAGTGGGGAGCAGAACAGGCAGATTGAAGTACATTGCTGAGGAAGCAGCAGGTGAGACAGGAGAGGTCTGCTATCATGTGGGTCACCTCCCTGGCTGGGGATTGAACTCGTTCTGCAGTAGCTGCTGATAGCTTTATAGTGCTGCACTTTAACTCTGTACCACCAGGGAGGGCCCTCTTTGCCAGTTTTTAATATTGCCCTACCTCCCTATTTTTCTTATTTTTGTTAAGTGTTTAGTGTCCTTTATGTTTTTACTTTTCATTTCCTTGATTGCTAATGAGATAGCGCTTATTGATTTATTTGCCATTTGGATTTCTATTGTGAATACTGTTCAGGTAGGTCCTTTTTCTAAAAAATGTCTTCATACTTCTTAAAAGCTTTATTGAGTTATATATGAGCATTCAATAAAATGCTTAAAGTATGCTGCATGAATGTATTTTAACATGTGCATACACCCATGAAACTACCTCACAACTACATAACAAACATGAAACTACCTCACAACTACATAACATAAATAATAACAATAAAAATTTCATCAGGTAATTCAAAGAGCTCTACTGAAATACACTTGCAGTGGGCAAGATAGGAGAGATTTGTTGTGCCATGTGGGGATCAAACTCAGGCCATAAAAGTAATAGCATGAGAACACTGAGACTTAACCCCTACACCACCAGGGTACCATCAGACTATGAAACACTAATGAATATATCTCCATTTTAAGAATGTGGATTAGGACCTCCCTGGTAGCCCAGGGGTTAAGTCTCAGTGCTTTCATCACTATCATCTGTGTGTTAGCTAGTACATCCTAATATAGTTGGATATTTTCTTTTTTTCCAGACTTCCACTAAATTCAGGATGGGGGCTTTCTTCATTCTGGACCCATTCTACCCCAGTTCCATCTCTGATATATTCCTTAAGGTTATATTTTGTATTATCCACTCTCCTTTCATATAGTGCTGTCAGTGGTAAGAAGATCATTTCAGACTCAACCCAGGCAAGGTCTTGCCATTTACTCACACTTCTTGGCAGTTGATGTTGACTTGGGCTATTGGTACTTAGTAACTAATAATATTGGTACTTGCACCTGCATGGTTAGCATTATTTTTTTTAAGCTACTTTACTTTTTTTACCTGCCACCTAGTGGTTGAAATGTTGCTCTGTACCCTTCATAAAATTCAAATAGTGAGGCCATGTACTTAAGAATTTTATATAGTCTTCTCTCCTTTCTACTTCCATAGAAAGATTATCTTTAAAACATACCACCCAGATGATTATCCAACTTTGTATTGTAGGTTTATTTCAAATAATAATGTGCATTACTTGGTGATTTTTGTTATTTGGGCCTTGATTTTATTTTTAGCATAATAGAAAGGCTGTTAGGTATATATCTCTGTTCTCTCCTGTATTTCTCATTTAAGTTATGATCACAGAGTATTATGTAGAGAGTATGATTACCTTTCTTCAAAAGTTTAGTGTTACACCAAGTTCATATTTGCATTTATTGACATGAAGCAAACATTTTTGAGTACTTATCTAAGCAATGAATATTCATTGATTATGGAACAAAATAACACTTTAAAATTTGGATCTAAAAGTAGTTGATCCTGAAGCTAGTGTTTATGAAATTGGTGAATAAGTCTATATTGATATTATTCAGGATCCTGGGCCACCTCTTTCATTATTATAGTCAGTCATGTTCATTTTAATCATAGCTAGACCTTTAATCTGCATTTTTTTATAGGGTAGATTATTTAAATCTCTTGTCAAGAAATTGGCTTAATTTATTTTTTTCCAGCAGGCAGTATAGTGAGAAAAAACCTTAATATGTATTTTTCAAGTTCACTGATTATATTAAGTGCCATTTTTATAATTTTAATAAATATTAATCATACTTTATAATAGGATTAAACACTTTATTTTTTTTTATGCATATAGAACTGGGGTACGGGCCAGAGGTGCAGGGGCTGTGAAAAGATGCACCAGAGACAGAGTTGGGAGCAGAACAGGCAGATTGATGAAGTACACTACTGAGGGGAGCAGTGGGCAAGACAGGAGGGGTCTGCTGCGCCATGTAGGTCACCTTCGGAGCTGGGGATTGAGCTCGCACTGAAGGGCTGCCCCAGATTGCAGTACTACTGCTTCAACCTGCTGTGTCACCAGGGAGGGCCCTTATTCAATGCTTTAAAGCAGGGGTTTGACTGGGTATTTTTCTAAGTTATTTGGGTTTATATGTGTTATAATGAAACTTTAATAAAAATACTAATTAAAGGACATACTATATATAATGAAATTTTTAGGGGTAAACTGATTCTTTTAAAGTTTAAAAAAAATTTTGTGCATATAAATTGGGGTACAGGCCAGAAGTATGGCGGGGCGGTGGGAGGATTCACCAGAGACAGAATGGGGAACAGAACAGGGAGGCCCTGGTAAACTGGTTCTTAATGAGTAGATTAATACTGTGAGTTCTTAATAATTTTAAGACTTAAGATAGCATCATTCAAAAATTAATGTTACTTTTTTTTTTTAAAGATTTATTTGTGCATACAGAACTGGAGTACAGGCCAGAGATGCGGAGGGTGAGAGGCTTCACCAGAGACAGTGGGAAACAGAACAGGCAGATCGACGAAGTACACTGCTTAGGGGAGCAGCGGGCGGGTCAGGAGAGGTCTGCCACACCATGTGGTCACTTCCGGGGCAGGCAGGAATCGAACTCATGCGGAAGTGGCTTTAGATTCTCAGTGCTGTGCTTTAACCCGCTGTGCCACCAGGGAGGACCCAAAAATTAATGTTACTTTATTTAACTAAACAAATATATAAAGTAGCCTGTGATTGTTATGGAATCTAAGGGTTTTTATGTTAAGTTAGAACATTAAAAGTTACTATTAGAATTTAATTTGAAACACTGTAAAGTTGTATCAGTTAATTAAAAATTACAGTTAACTACATGCTTACATAAAACATTTTTATAAAAAAATGGTTATACAAAACAAAAAATTGCGAGATTGTGACATTGTTTTACATTTTGTAATCTCTTTAATGTCTGACTTAATAGCAAAGGTTGGATTCTTGTATCTGTTTTTCTATTCAGACTGGTTCACTATCACTTGGTGTACAACCTCTGGAAAGCTATAAATGAGAGAATGAAAATGGAAAAAGGTATATTTACTGTGAAAATAGTACTTTTTTTCCTTTTCAGACTCCTTGAAATACTCAGGGGCTCCCTTCCCACATTGTAGGAATTTTTGTTCTAGATAATATGTTACTTCATCTGTGAAACTTAAAAGACTCATTAAAAATAACTCTAGAGGACCCTCCCTGGTGGTGCAGCGGGTAAAAGCACAGCACTAAGAAGCTCAAGGCACTTCAGCATGAGTTCGATACCTGCCCTGTAGGTGATCCACATGGGACCACAGACCTCTCCTGACCCGCCCACTGTTCCCCTCAGCAGTGTACTTCATTATTCGGTCTGTTCTGCTCCCCACTTTGTCTGGTGAATCCTCTCACTGCCCCTGCACCTCTGGCTTGTACTCCAGCTCTGTATGCATAAATAAATAAATCTCTTAAAAATAAGACTCTGGAAATATTATTTAAAAAAGGGCATCTAAAAGATGAGTGTTTCTTTTGTATCATTCATTCTATGTTTATATTTCCTCATTGTCTCATTTTTATTGTTTGTTGAAATCAAGATTCAGCAAGGTTCACACATTGCATTTGGCTGATAATCTTTCAGATTTCGACCTATTGATTCCTCTTCCTTTTCTTTGCAGCTTATTAGTTAAAGATAATGTGTCATTTGTTCTTACAGAGTTTCTCTTACTCTGGCTTTGTCTGAGTATGTCTCTGGTATAATTTATGTTTCTTGATTTACTGCATTTCTTGTAAATTTGTAGTCAGAACTCTGGAGAAGTGATTAGATTTAATTTCAGTCCTTTTTGGAACAACAATTGTTATATAATGTGTAATTTCATTAATATTCAGTTACAGAGGATGTCTTTTTATTTAAGATTTATTTATTTATGCATACAAGAACTGGGATACAAGACAGAGGTGTGGGGGTAGAGAGGATTCACTAAAGCAGTTGAGTAGGGAATAGAACAGGCAGATTGATGAAGTATGCTGCTGAGGGGAGCTGCTAGCGAAATGAGAGGTCAGCTGTGTCATGTGGATTAAGCTCCCTTGCTGGGATTGAAGGCATACAGCAGTGGCTGGGCTCACTTGGTAGTGGTGAGATTTTAACCCTGTGCCACCAAGGAGGCCTGAAGTGTTTGCTTTCCCCCCACCCCCTTCCCTTGTTCTACAGTTTTTCAAAATCATTAGTGAGTACCCTAGCAAGCTTGGTTTTCTGTCTCCTAGAGTTTCTATTATGAATTTACAAATTTTGTTTTTTGGTCATTATGCTTTTTGAATAATGACTGTTATTTGAATGTTCATATCCTTTCTCTTGACTCGTGGAAGCCCTTTTAGGGTGACTCTTTTGTCCTTGGTACATCTTTAGTAGTTTTTGATAGTTTCCTGGAACAAGATTTGTTAAGTTCATCTTGTACATTTCCTTCTCCAGACCTGGAGTCTGAATGATCATCATTTCTGTCAGTGGCTAGTGATATTTAGAGATCTATGTGGTATTTATGTTTATTCCTGAAAGGTTGGCATTGTCACTTTTTGGTGATCAGATCTAGGAAATTCATATTTTATAGAAAGAAAAAGAATTCATATGTTGTGAGAGCTATTTCCAATTCAGATGCAAGATTCCAGTTTTTTTTTATTCAATGTAAAATATTGGTTGTACCTAATCACAAAATTTGGGAGACTATTCTGTTTAATTAGACAATTGGAGTCACAAATTCATGTGACTGAAGGTTTCAGACAGCTAAACAAATAAGTCTGTTGTGATAATGAACAGAGAATGACCAGGGATGATAAACTGAAGAACGTATGTCCCATTTCATGGAAGCATGTGTGTGTTTTGCCAAGAGAAAATACATAGTATTGCTTGGTTTTCCTGTTTCTTAGAAGATTTAAGTACAGATATGTTACGTGCCATTATTTAGCTTTTAAATGTTGGCAACTCATACATTTTTGAAAAATAATATATTTTTTTTTGCATAGAAGAACTGGGGTGTAGGTCAGATATGCAGGAGGTGAGAATATTCACAAGACACAGAATAGGGAGCAGATCAGGCAGACTGACGGAAATACACTGCTGAGGCGAGCAGTAGGTGAGACAGAAGTTTGCTGTGCCATGTGGGTCAGCTCCCTGGCGGGAGTCAAGCTCAGGCTATTGCAGGTTGTTGTAGGTGATCCATAGTGGTGGTAGTGCTGAAACTTAATTCCTAGGCCACGTTTTTAAAGAGTCTTGTTAGGATCAAAGAAGATATTTCTGTCACAGGCTGTTAGTTTGTGGCTACTTGTGAAAATAGTCTAAGAAATTAGTGGTTAAACTAGCTTTTTAAAATTATAGCACTCAGATGACCTGAAAAATGACAGAGGGGGAAAAAGTAAGAGATAATGACTTAATCATTATAGTTTGCTAATCTTGATGAATTTAATGATCCATCTTCTCTTTTTGAACTTCTTAAGTTATTTATCATTAACTTTGTTTTTTTTTTTCTTCCAAATTCAATATAGGAGCTCACAGCATCTCAGAAAAGTGGTGGGAATGTTCTTCAGATGATGTATGAGAAGCCTGAACGATGGTCTTTTACCTTCCAATCATATGCCTGCCTCAGTAGAATAAGAGCTCAGCTTGCCTCTCTTAATGGCAAGCTCAAAGATGCAGAGAAACCTGTATTATTTTTTGAAAGATCTGTGTATAGTGACAGGTACATAAAAATTATTTGTACTTTTCAGTTTGGAATTTAACTTTGAACTTTTTTAGTCCTGGGAATCTAAAAGGCTGAGTTGGGGATTTGAGATGAAAATGACAGTATCTTCAGCAAGTTGGTACTGATGATGTTAGGGATGTTCTAAAATCTACAATTTCTTTCCTGTAAACTGTAGGGAACATGCTGGCTGTCTCATTCAAGTTAACAGGAATTTTTTTTCCCCTCTGACCTTAAAATTATTACTAAAGGGGCCTTAGAATCACCCTACTTCTTGAGCAAAGATTCTGTCAGTTTCTAGAGTTAACTCAGAAAAGAGACTTTCACACTTCTTGGCCTTAGGACCCCTTTCCATACCTAATAAGTATTGTGGATTCTAAAGGTTTATGTGTCTTACTGATATTTATCTTATTAAAAATTAAGATTGAGGAAAAAAACATTACCTAAATAAAATTGATTATAGTAAAGCCATTATATATGCATAAATTATGTACTTGAGATATTTTAAAAAACAAGTGAAAGCATTATTTTATGTTTTTGTGAATCTTTTTAATATCTGAGTTGAAATAACTGGATTATCATTTATGCTTCTTTATTCATTCTTCTGTTATATGTTCTTTTGGTTCAAGTATGGTCTATGATGTAATCTAATTTCTCATGGAACCACTGTATGGGTCTTGGGGACCACCAGGGTCCTCATACCACATTTTTGGAAACCATTAGCCAAGAATATATCTCTTAGAATTGAGGATACTGTTTTTCCCTGCTCTTTCTCTGTCAAAGGTTTTAGGTAAATGTTCCATGTCCATTTAGTATAACTATTTTCTCTCTTATATTTCTTTGTGATTTTTTTTTTCCTGGAGAGAGAGTATCGTGTTGATGTAAATTCTTTTTCAGGTATATTTTTGCATCTAATTTGTATGAATCTGACTGCATGAATGAAACAGAGTGGACAATTTATCAAGACTGGCATGACTGGATGAATAAGCACTTTGGCCAAAGCCTTGAACTGGATGGAATCATTTATCTTCGAGCCACTCCAGAGGTAAGATGCAATAAAAATTTGTTTGCTTTATCAGAAATTTAAAGTAATGTGTAGAAATATTTTCAGTACTATACAGTTTCTGAACGTAATTTAATTTTGTTCTCCATCCTCTTCCTCTCCTCCCACAAACTAGAAACTCAGTTTCTAGTGTTGTATTGTCTCTGCAAACAATAACCCCAGATTTGGCAAGTAACTCAGGTTCCTTTTCTGTTCTTCCTCAGTTCTGTTCATTAGTATTTCTTTCTGACTTTTGCACTCTCTTACTTATTATAAGTAGGCTAAGACATTTGCTCAAGCAACTCCTAAAGTATAGGCTTTAGTGAGGTGAATTTTGAGTATTTTAATTGCAGTTGAATTTCTAGTATACAGAGTAGGACCTAGGACCTGGGTGCATAGTAGCAGCTCAGTAAATATTTGCTGAACTTGTTGATGGAGGTCCACCAACCCACATGGTGCAGCAGACCTTTCCTGTCTCACTTGCTGTTCCCCTCAGTAGTGATTTCAGTAGATCTGCCTGTTCTGTTACCTCCTCTATCTTTGGTGAATCCTTTCACCCCCTGCACCTTTGGCTTGTATCCCAGTTCTTGTTAGTCTAAATAAATAAAAATAAACATTTTTGAAAAAGAAAAAGAGTAAGTATTACTAATAAATTTGTTCTACTAGGAACATTCATAGTCACGACTTTCTAAAGTTTAACATGTTCCTTTATTTTATCAGTGTTATCTGTGGCCTCTTTGATTAGAGTCACTATTTGAAAGCAAACTTAAACATTGAAGTAGTTTATATTTTGAACTTACATTCTTTTTAACAAATTTTTATAGTATATTATAAATATGGATGCCAAAAGTTTGCAGATTTACTTTGACTTGTTTTGGAAAGTACTGCATGGTTTACAGCCACCAAATGGTGAAAAGCAAAGGGAAGAAAAAATGAACTATTTTTACTTTCTAGAAACAATATATACTTTGTCTAGCATAACTAAAGTGATACACTGGACAAGAAAATTTTAGAGGCAGGAGACTACATTACTTGATCCTATGTTTCTTGCTGCTTGTTTTTAGAAATGCTTGAATAGAATATATTTACGGGGAAGAAATGAAGAACAAGGCATTCCTCTTGAATATTTAGAGAAGCTTCACTACAAACATGAAAGCTGGCTTCTGCATAGAACACTGAAGTAAGACTTCCTATTCTTATTAATTTTTATAAGTAATCAGATTTTAATCTAGAACATGTATAATTTTTCATTTTCAGCCAATTAATTTATTAGTATGGGATCTTCCAATATTTGGTTTGGGTTTTGATTCTTTTTATTATAAAGAAATCCTGTATATAAAATTTTTATGACTAATCTCCTGCACTGATAATAATGTCATTATAAGTAGAACTGCATGTTAAGTGATGAAGTAGGAATTGTATCTGATTTTTTCTTTCAGAGGAAATTCTAAGATAGTTTAAATTTATTCCATCAATCAAGGCTTAGAAGTAGAATAGCATAGTTATTAAGAGCTTGGACTTTGTCATTAGTCCAAACCTTGATTCAAATTTAGTCGTACTAGTGTTCAACATTAGACAGTCTGAGGACATCAGAGTGACCTCCCTTACTTTAGTTTTCTTATCTTTAAAATACAAAAAATTCCTACTTCATGATATGTTTGATTTTGAGTATTTTACATGCTACAGTACCTAATTCTACATATTTTATACCTGAGATTTTTAAAGCTGTGTGTAGTAAATGTCGGTGAGAAAGATGGGGCAGCCTAATGAAGTTCTTTGTTACTTTCAGTATAACTTTAATATAAAATGCTTGACAGCATCTCGTCTGAAGACTGCCTGTGCCTATGAAGGTGTCTCCTTTAACAAACTTTTACCTTTGAAAGCGGCAACTCTTTCTGCCTGTTTATATCTGTGCAAATGTCTCTTTTCCTTTCCTTTTTCCCCTAATTAACCTACTCTTTTTGGTCATAAAAAAAAAAATGATAGGCAACATTTTTCTGTAATAATATAGGAATGAGTTTTTAGTTTTTCTGTTTTATTTATTACTATTTTTTTTTATTCATCTTTCTATTGTTAAACAGAACCAACTTTGATTATCTACAAGAAGTACCTATATTAACACTGGATGTTAATGAAGACTTTAAGGACAAACATGACAGTCTGGTTGAAAAGGTAGATTTATACAAACACTATAAGCTAACACTTGTTTTGTCTGTAAACTAACTAGTTAGAAAGGTGTTATCTAACAAAAAGATTCCATAAAATTATAGTAAGAGACAGTTAAGAGCTTTAGAGGGATTTAGATTGTTCAGATTCCAATCCTAACTTTATATTCTAGCTTTGTGGTAAAATATGAACCTTCTATGTCTATTATCTTTTACTTCCTTTGTAATATAGTAAGCACATAGACAGAAGTTCTTGATTGCCTTTTTCTCTGCTTTGTCCTTTTCCCTCTTACCACCAATTTTAGATATTTTAATGACTAGTAGCTTGTGAAAGTAAATTTAGCTTTTTTTCTTAAAAAGGATTTCTTTGTTTGTGCATACAGAACTGGGGTACCAACCAGAAGTGCAGGGCCAGTGAGCATATTCACCAGAGACAGAGTGGGGAGCAGAACAGGCAGATCTAGGAAGTACACTGTTGAGGGGAGCAGTGGGCTGGTCAGGAGAGGTCTGCCCCGCCATGTGGTCACCTCCAGGGCAGGTGGGGATCTAACTCATGCTGAAGTGGTTTTTAGCTTCTTAGTGCTGTTCTATAACCCGCTGTGCCACCAGGGAGGGCCAGTAAATTTAACTTTTTAAACTAAATTCAATATAGAAGATATTTGAAGTTATAGGATATGGATTTTATTCATTTTTATGTTAGCTGAAGTTGAGATTAAAGGAGTTTTTAGTTTATAGTTTTATTTGGGGTCTTGTCAATGATGAATTGGTGATGCCTGATCATTGAGTCATTGTCTAGATTATAGTTAACCTATTCCTCAGATATTTGGGCGTCACCGATGTTTGTTGAGTGAGTAATAACCCATATTGATAAAGGAACTGGTAGGTAACATGTTGATGCACACTTGAGAGAATGGTTGAAGTAATTGTATAAAAAATCCTGTGCCCGGCCCTCCCTGGTGGCACAGCGGGTTAAAGCACAGCACAAAGAAGCTTAAGCCACTTCCGCATGAGTTCGATTCCCACCTGCCCCGGAGGAGACCACATGGCGCGGCAGACCTCTCCTGACCCGCCTGCTGCTCCCCGCAGCAGTGTACTTCGTCGATCTGCCTGTTCTGCTTCCAGCTCTGTCTCTGGTGAATCCTCTCACCCTCCTCATCTCTGGCCTGTACCCCAGTTCTGTACGAATAAATAAATAAATCTTTAAAAAAAAAAAACCCTGTGCCCATATTAATTAAGTGATCTGTGGTCTAAAGAAAAAGCTATATTTTTGTTTAGTTTTGAAAGAAATTTGGTCTTTCTTTTGTCCTTTCAGAAAAGATCTGCTCTTTAGTATATCAGGTAATTGGCGCTATTAGAGAAATATCTTAAGAAGTTTGAAAATCTTAGCATTTATAGATAACGACTATAGCCCTCGTTGTTTTTCCCTTGGTATACAGTAAACTGTATCTGGAATATTCAAATGAGTATTTCATACTAATTATGATAAAAGTAGAATTCACTTAAGGAACTATTAAAATAATTGAATACTACTAAATAGGCCTTTTCAGTATTACTGTCAAGTATTATTTTATTTAATTTTTAAATTTTATTTAGTTTTTAATTAATTTTCTCATTTATAAATGAGAACAAGTATTAACAATATGCTGTATTTCAGGTGTTGGAAAAGGTGTGACATAATCCAAATACACAGTCTTGTTTCTTTTCCAATTCAGAATTTTTGTTTTAATTATAAAAGTGAGAGATAATTTTTTAAAGAGATTTATTTATTTATGCATGCAAGAATTGGTGTACAGGCCAGAAGTGGAGGGGGCTAAGAATTCACCAGAGACAGAGTGGGGTGCAGAACAGTCGGATTGACTGAAATACACTGCTGAGGGGAGCAGCAGGTGAGACGAGAGGTCTGCAGTGCCACCCTGTGGGTCAGCTCCCTGGCTAGGGATCAAACTCGTGCTGCAGTGGCTGTGGATAATCACTTCACATAGTGAAGAGACTTATCTACTTATGCCACCAGGGAGACACTAAAAATGAAAAATAATTTTTATAACCTAAAATGTTTCCTTATTAAAGCTTTCATAAACAATTAAAAAAAAAGTGAGGCAAACTGCATGTCAGTCATATCAGATCCTGTGCAGGGAATTTGCAGCATGACTTCTTTCATCTGTGAGGACACAGTTAGTGTTTAAGACATACATATTCATCTACTGGCTCAGGACAGTCAACCTTCCACTTTGTGGTTTCCTTCTGCTGCATGTCTGGTTGTCTGATTCTTAGAGCTTTTATCTTATCCATCTACTAGCTGTTGGAGGAGGACTAGGGCCACAGTAATGATTAATTTGATCTATTCTTCTGGGGAGGTTTCCTGGTATATCTAGAATTAGAACAATTTCTGTACCCTTTTCTCTTTTTCACATCTTGTTAAAGTAGAGTTTTAAAATTAAAACCACAACTCAGCTTTTCCCCAGAACAAATCTGTTACAAAAGATAATTTCCATGGGGACTGATTCCACCAATCCAGCATTGTTCATTCAAGATGCAAATCGTCTTGTTTCTTGTTCCCTGTCACCCCCAACAGTAATTTTAACTAAATGTAAAACCACTTTTAAATTTTATAACACTTAAGTGTTTTGACTAAAAAATCATCATTTCATAAATTATTTTACTTCCATTAATAAATGCTTATAATTGACTTTATCTTAGTTATTTTTACAAGACTGTAATCTTTCTCTCCAGAAACACGTGTAGTCTTGAGTATATAGAGAACAGTCTTAATACATTGTGATATTGATAAATTGATAAGGCTCACTCACTGCTTCCATACTTTTTCCCACCTGTTATATCAGTGTGTATGATTCATACTGTTTCAGAAAAATTAAAAATCTGCATGTCTATACCTTCCAGATTGCCTGAACCATTGCCATTATTAATATTTTCAAGGCTAAAGCTGTATGTCTGTGGTATTTAAGTGAAAGTTCATAGAATTAGCCTAATGGCTGTTGTAGAAAACTATCAATCTTAGTTGTAAATATAGTAACTCTTGTAATGACATTTTAGGTCATTCATGTTTGAATACTGAAGTATTTATGTAATTCTTCTTTTGTGTAATACTTCTTTTCAATGAAATTTCTATGGCCTTGTGATAGTTATTTCTTCAATTGATATGCTTTTAAATGAAGATGATTATTCAGTATCTCAGATTAGTTAAAATTGTATTAACATATTTTTCCTGCCTTTTAGGTCAAAGAATTTTTGAGCACTTTGTGATCTTGCTGAAGACCACCATAGACAGACAAGTGCTTCCAGATACTTCATATTTTTGTGTCTTCGTAGGTCCATATTGATACAGGTCTCATTAGAAAGCCTAAGATTTTAGCCATTTTTGTTTAAAAGTTTATAACCTTTTTCTTAATTTTTTTGGGGGTCTGAAAAAAAAATTTAACATTTTTCACAATAAGAATTCTGGAAATGTAGATAGTTCTAGAATCAGTATAAAGACAAAGCTACACCATAGAGGACCCAGTATCTTCCTGTCATTCTCCTCAGCAGGTTAGCATATTTTTCCTGTTATTTTTTATGCTGATGACTGGTTTCTTAACTGGAAACTTTAATGTTACATAGTTTGGTGATGTTTCCTGTGTAAGTTAGTGCACCTGTTAAAAGTTGAAAAGAATCCCTGAAAAGTATTTTAAAATTTTAAGTATTTTTGCTCTGGTTTCTGTCTTAATTTATATGAAAGTTAAGACAGGTTTAATATTTAATAGCATCACTAGTATTTATTAGTGTTTCTATAGCACAGTTATAGAGGAGCAGGTTAGACTTTGTTCCAAGTTTGTAATAATGTATCAGTGGGTCATTTAACTTTTTTTCCCTCCCTTTTTTTCTACAACTGTGGTATGTATAAAATTCTTATCCTTTGGCAGGAGATTTTTGGGAATTAAAAAGAAATGATTCTATACTTAAAAGATAATAGTTAATGTATGAGTATAAAGATTCACTTAACATGGAATTTAAAATAACTACTTGGCTTTTTCCCTTCTCAGACCATTCTTTTAGAATTGAATATGTCATGTGGTTAAAAGATTGGTTTAAACTGTAATTGCCTTTAAATGATTTGAAATGGAAATATAGTTTTCCCTAACATTCTTCCCATTTTTATGGGTAATTTTAATAGAACATATTGAGGGACAAGTTTTTTCCATTTTATTCTCTATTCACCCTGATTGCCGAGTAGTTTACCTTTAATACTTGGTGAGAATGCAAAAGAGAAACTGAAGACAAAATAGATTATCATCTTGGGCAATTTAGTTTGTTTAGTCTCAACTATGTCCATTTTTGTCCTTTTCTTACTATTAACTAAGCAGTCACATATTTTAAAGTTTGAATAAGTGGCACCTATTTTATTATGCAAATATCACTATCATTCTTCATTTTGTACTTTGCTTCTCTTAAGATAACTCCCCTTTAAGACAAGTTGCTTATAAAAATGGTATTGCTTTGTTAGTATCTTAAAAGCATTATCTCTTTTTGTTGAATATATGTTAAGAAATGTATACATATAAAAAAGATAAGAGGATAGAAAGTTTATATTAATTAGGTACTCTTAATTACTCAAAGTACTTACGTGAATAGTTTTAATTCTTAAAATCTCATGAATTCATTATAGGTCTGTTTATAATTGTACAGTTTTTTCAATTTTATTTAATTAAATATGCAGTTTTAATTAGATCTTTACTATTTAATTAGGTCCTGAAAATTCTTTTGAAATAAGGGAAGTAGTCACTTTTACTATGAAACTATTATTTTCCTTTTTAAAATCTCATTTCTGTTTTTTGCTTCTTGATACTCAAAGGTGATAATTTAGTGGGTTAAACTGCATGCCCTGATCTTAGAAGGGAGACTGTTTCAATTCTGTATTCATCAAGAATATTTATACTTAATATTGTATGGGTTTTTGTTTGATATTAATGAAGTTGAATATTTGCTTAATAAATAAGCATAAAAATTCATCTTTAAAAAAGTTACATCATTTTTCAATAACCTTTTGAGTATAGACTTTTCCCACTCCAAAATACACAAAAAATGCAAAATCCTCCTATATTTAAACATTACTATTTTAGAAAAAGACACTAATTTACTTGATACTTTCTACATAGAGATCATTTTGAGTACATTTGATTTGTGTGTCAAGTTCTTTTACTCTGTCATGAGTCTGTCAAATGAAGGGAATGAAGAGTTTATATCTAGGATGCTAGGAAATTATGTGTGATTGCCATTTCCATGAGTTTTGAACAGTGTTCTCTAAAGGTGTTTTTCTGAAGTATATAACCTAATTTTTTTTTAAGTGTATGCACTTGGGCCCATGAACCCAGTCAGCAGGCCAGCATGCCATACCTTTCCCTGCTGTCCAGCTAACTAGTTGCTAAAACTTAATTTTAAGTGCAGCTTGAGTGTAAGATAACTGTTTGTCCCCAAATGGGTGGAAAATTGGTGAGAGGGAAGTGTTGTAGGAAACAATATCCATTTGAAAGATCGACTTCTTTATTTCTCTCTGTCACCAATTGCCACCCACAATCAAGTTTTCCTCTTTGGCAAATATAATAAATGTTCTTTACAATATTATTTCTATTTCTATATTGGTTATTTATAAACTTGTTCTGTTTACTCAGTTGGTACATTCTTTGGACATCTTGACATATAACATTATACACAATTACATTATTTTTAAGGAAAATTTTTATTTACATTTCACCCAGTGACAGTGCTTTCAGGAATAAAGGCATTAAATGAAGAATGGGTACGTAATTTAAATTTGATTTAGTTTTGCTTACTTCTTTCCCCTACCATTTTTTAGATTATTGTGGCTATAGGTCTGGAATTGTAAGTTTAATAAAGTATACTTAATATGGTGTTCTCAGAATATTTTAAATCAACAAGGATTTAGGCTTGGTTCAAGGATTGCACAAAAATTAACATCAGCATAAGTTCTGTGTTGGCAGGTTTTAATTGATAAATATTGAAGTGTTTCTTTTTAAGAAATAAGATAATCCTCAAAGAATTTATATACTAAATTATTTTAATTTCAGTTTTATGCCTAGAATAAAAGAAGTACTATGTCAGTCAGTGTCCATCGCACTAGAATAAAAGGTGGCACTTAAAATCAAACTAATAGAGGGCCCTCCAAGATGCTAAGAGGAGGTTCCTTGCTTCATTCCCAAAAAACTATGGGATACTACACCGAGATACTACATCAGAAGCTTGCATTTTGATGGGCAACAGGTTATACCAGAGTCAAAGAGGAAATCCACATAACGTGAAGAGAAACTCTTGGAGACTCTGGTCTGGGGCAGGGAACATAGGTGGAGTTTCCAACCTAGCAAGGAGTTATGGGGAATATAGAGTAAAATGATATGGATGCCCTAGACCCAGCTGAAGCCCATGGAGGAGCTGTGATATGTTGCAGGTTAGAATCCCAGTAAAGAAGGACAGCAAAGAAGCTGCCCTAGACTACTCTCTGTTCACCTACCCCCTAACTACTGCCTGTGTTAAGTGCACTGATGATGGATTGTTGAATCTCAGATCTGAGATTCCAGTGAGGAGGGTATCAGTAGTATCACAACTAAAACAGGCAGCTTCCCTCACTAGCACATTAGTTTCATATTCCTTCCATACTCCATACTTACATACTCCACTGCAAATACGGTTGTCATTATCTATGGAAGCTAGCAAAAGTCAGTTAAAAAAAAAACAAAACCCACATTGCAGTAGCTGGAAAAGAGCTTCCTGCTTTCAAAGTTGTTGATAGTAAAAAACAAAAATAAAAAAAGCACATATGGTAACTTGAGACCTCAAGGGGTTATATTATCGCAAGGAGAAAATTCCAAAATTTAACAACTTCAATGATAGAGTTTAAAATTGCAGTTGTAGATAGAAGAAATGGGAAAAGACAAGTGAAAATGACATGAAAACTCAAAAGCTAATCAAATGCATACAACAGAATTCAGAAATATGAATGGCTTCAGAAATAAAATTAACTAGTAGTAATTGAAATTTTAATAAGAATAGATTCAGGATGTAAAGAACTCAAGTGAGCTCAAGACTATTGAGAAAGTTATGGAAACAATAGACCAAATGCAGTGTTGCAACAATGACTCAAGGAAATGCACAAAGGACCTGGGAGGAAGAGGAGAAAGAAAACTAAAAACAAAAACAAAAACAAACAAACAAACAAACAAAAAACTAAAGAAAACAACAGCAACAACAACCCTGAAGCACTTTAAGAACTCTCTGACTCCATTAGGAAAGGGAAGATGGGATAATAGTATTCCAGAATGTATTAGAAAGGGGAACAAAGTTCATTCAAAGAAGCAGAGGAAGACTTCCCAAACCTGAGGAAGGGTTTATTTTTAGACAACGGAAAAGGTGGATTTATTGAAATATACTGTTAGTAGAAGCTGTGAGCAAGACAGACACAGGTCTGTGCTTGAGGAAGGATTTAAATCACCCAAATTCATGAGGCTAATCTAACACCTTATCTAAATGCAATGAGACCTCTACACCAAGATAGTGAAACTATCAAGAGTTCACAAAGAATATTGTTGGTGGCTGGGGAAAAAAGGGTTACTAAAACAGGTTCTCTTATTAGGCTTACTCTGAACTTATAAGCAGAAACTACAGGCATGGAGAAAATGGAATGATATATTGAAAATACTCAGATAAAATTGCTAGCTTGCAAGACTGTCCTTCACGTAGGGAGAAACAAAACTTAAGGAATTGTCAACACTAGGCCTCCTCTACAAGAAATGCTGATTTAAAAAAAAATAACAAAGAAATAGAAAGTATCAGAAAACTAGAGACAAAATAGCAGCAAGCCTTCATATATCAATAATCACCCTTAATACCAATGTACTGAACTCAGCAATCAAAAGGGATGGTGACCGGATTGATTAAAAAGCAAAATCCAAGTATATGTTTCTTGTGAGACTATAAATACAGACTTAAAGGGAAGGTATAGAAACATCTTGCGAACTAGTGGAAAAATCTTTCAAGAGAAGGAATGACTATATCAGCTAAAGTAGGCTTCCAGTAAATAATAGCATGAGACAAACAAAATGATAATGGAATCATACAACAGGAAGATGTAACAATTTTTATTATATAAGGATCTAAATACATCACTAAAATATATAAAGCAAATATTGACAAACCTAAAGGGAGATATTGGTAGCAACACAGTAACAGTAGAGAACTTTAACAACCCATATATGGCAGTGAGCAGATGAGAGAGGAAATCAAGAAAACGGCTTTAAATGTCAAACTGGATGGGCTTAATAGGTACTTACAGAACATTCTGCCCCAAAACAGAACAGACAATCTTTAAGTGCTAATGGAACATTCTTAAAGTTGGGACACAAAACAAGTCTCAAATTTATAAAGATTGAAATCATCTTTTGGGCTATACTGGTATGCAACTGGGAATCAACTGAAGGAGAAATCACAAAATTGTGGAGAATAAAAAAACATATGTTACTGAACAACTGTTTAATCAGTAGAAAATGAAATATATGAGTAGGAATGAAAACATTACAGTAGGTGGGATGCAGCAAAGGAATAATATGAGAGGTTTATAACAATACAAGCTTACATCAGGAAACAAGAAGAATCACCAATAGGAAATCATTTACATCTAAAGAACAAGGTGGGGGGGGATGCAAAACAAAAGTAGACAAAAAATTAATGAAATAGCAATCAAACATATTCCACAGGATCAGTGAAACCAAGTTTTTTTTTTCTTTAAAAATATTAACATATTAGAAAAACCTTTATCCAAACCCACAAAAAAGAGAAAAGGTAAACAAAAAATTTTTTTTGAAAGAAATTACAATAGATACTAAAAATACAAAGACTATGAGACTTGTGAACAATTACATGGCAACAAATTGAATAGCTTAAAAGAATGGAGTAATTCTTTGCAACATTCCAAGATGGAATCAGGAAGAAATAGACTGAACCTAACTATAGTGAATAAGGAAATGGAAATTAATCAGGAGGTTCCCAGAAGACAAAAAGCCCAGAACCAGGTTACTTCACTAATGAATTCCACCAGACTTTAACAGATGAATTATACCTTATATTACTCCAGCTCTTCTGTGAAATTAAAAAGGAGGGGAAACTTCTGAACACTTTCTGGAAAGCAACTAAATACCCTGATTCTGAAACTGGAAGGATTTCACAAAGCTCTAGTAGACACAAAAACAAAAATATTCAACAAAATCTAAACAAATCAAATTCAAAAATACATTGGAAGAATCATAAGATGACCAAGTGGGATATACACCAGGGATACATGGATGGTTCAACATATGCAAATCAATAAATGTGATAGACATTTCTTGGGAAGACAAATGTCATTTCACTAGACTCAAAAAAGCATTTGCAATATTCAACATTCATTTATGATAAACCCTTAATTAAATGGATATAGTACCTCAACATAATAAATGTCATACATGACACACAGATAACTATATCATACTCAATTATGAAAAATTGAAAATTTTC